GAAAGATTCCAAGTGTGAATGGTTTTTTTTCCTAATCACTGAAATGTTTTATCAAAGCCTCCACCTTTCTTATTGTAATTATCCCTAAAACTTTCACACAGATTTCACTGCAGCATCCTTACCCAAGTGAAATAATAGACTCAGTTAACTTTTATTCTTCAAAATTAACCAAAAAGAGTGGTTTAAAATGGCTTCATTTGGATCACCTTCTGCCTCTAAATGAGTAGTTTTGGTCTGCTTTTAAGCATCAGGAATTAATGCTGTGGAAATTGACCCATTTTCTGTGATAACTGGAAGAACCTTCAAATCCCCTTGAAGGCAAAGTAATTACATGCAATAAAATGTCTTGTCAGAGATGGTCAGATATTTATTTTTATATGGAATCTAAAACTAAAATTCCCTTTTAAACCTGCATATCTATTTCAGGGAAGATTTTGTATAGATGTTTCATTTGCATATGTGCTATGCAGTCTTCACGGTTTATCAAGAAAACTGATGTTAGAATGCTGGTCTAGAAGAGTTGAGTGCTTCTTCACACATTTCCTGTGTGAATGAATCTACAGACTGTTTAGATTACCTATGAATCTGATTCTGGGTGTCACTGACTGTTGGCTGGCTGTTATGGAACTCAGAGTCTTACATTTGTAGCAAAATCTTTCATGCAAGTCAAAGGTCTTTGGAGCAGCATAAGGGGATTAATCAGAGCCAGTACACTACCCAGAAAGGTGCTTGAGCCAGCCAGTGGATGATGTAGTCAGCCCCTTCCACCTCCCAGAGTTAGGGTCTCAGATTACTTTCTTTCAAAGGGCAGAAAGAAGCTTGCTACTTTTACGTAAGGAATGAGAAAGGAGGAGACAACTGTGGCTGGATCATTCCCGTATGTGGGAGGCATCGAATCTGTACTCTCAAAGATTTCAGTTTCATGGCCCCTACTTTCCAGAGGAGCATGATGCTATGGATGCTAGGGGATGAAGTGAGCAGGTCTTAATTTTTTATCCTAGTGGCTAGTCACTGAGTGGTGTGATCACTTCAATCACATCTTCAAGAACCTCCTAAAATAAAGCTTCCATGTAAACTTTGACAAAGTTCAGATCTTCTGATGGATGTTGTGTGTGAAGCTGCTTGTGAATTCCTTTCTATAAGTCAGTAAATCAACAAGAGAGATGAAACCTGTTCCATACTAGTCACTAGCCTAGAAATTCAACTCAGAAAGTTCAACTTCTTGCTCTAAATTTTGTCTGTGAAGGGTGCATGGGGTTTTTCTAATGCTAAATGTTTAAAGATCATGAAATATTCACACCCAGTGGTGTTACAGACCGCAGAGAAATTTCTGAATCCCTTCATCTCACTGAAAATAATCACTTTCATTTCAGAATTAATAGTTTAATCAGAATGTCAGTGTATAACCATATTCTTCTTTAAATAGAACAGGCTAAATTAAGTACAGTCTTATCTGAAATACTATTACAATTGGGGAAAAAAAAAGAAAAACTTGGGGAAAACAAAGAAATTTGTGTGCAAGTTAAAGCTGATCAAGAGAGCTATTTGTGCCAAAATGCTTTGCATAAATGTGTGTTCTGGTCATTACCATGGTAACTGCATCACATGGAACTTAAGTTACCTCTAAGGTGCTGAAATTTATTGAAGGAGCACAAACAGACAGCATCTTCTTACTGTAGAAAAGCATAATCTTCTATTCAAAAGGCTGGTTCTTATTCCCAAAGGCTAAGAACACAGGATGTGGTAAAACTTAATCCAAAGAAAGAAGAAAATTTTCACCATTTAACTGTGGTCATTAAAGACCTTTAGGTGCAATGTGGTCTTCAATGTGTATGCCCTGACAGATTTTATGTACCATTTGGCCTGCCAGTAGAAATCCTTCTTATGAATAAGGGTCATGACTTCAGTATTTCCAGCCATAATCCTTTGTTCTGTGTGGAGAACTCAACCCTTTCCACACAATTTATGTTAAATACAAAATTTCTACTAATAGCGAAAACAGTTTTAAGTTACCACATGGGTATTTAATTCGTATATATTTATTGACCTTTTAAGCTTCACAGAGGCACAAATACAGTACCAAGATACACACGAGTAAATTTGTACCCTAGACCTTTTATGCATAAACCTAATGTTTACATTTGCTAACAGAGTTAAGTAAGAGTTTGCTGAACGAAGCTACTTTTGTCATGTTCCCCATTCTGTTGAGCTTTGTCCTTCCCTTCCATGTTGTGAGCTGGTGTCTCATGTATTTCTACGAGATGTCTTCCTGGCTGAAGAGAGCTAGAAAGAGGCAATCCTACTGAAAGAGGCAAAACAGTTTGCGGCCACAACCCCTAAGTGCAACAGTGAGGAAAATGTGTCTCTGTGACATGACTGATGTCAGTGTGGAGACATGGGGAAGGAAGGGGCAGAGAGCACAGCCCACCATTTGAAACACTGAATTTTCAATATGTGCTGTGACAAGCATTTCTATTTATTATTAGTGGATAAATAAGAACCAAAATTGTACTCCAGAAACAATTTGAGATGGAAATCGAGAAACAAAATTATTGCCACACAGAGAAAAGGACACCCTTTCCTTTAGAATTTACTATAACAGCTCAGTGCACCCTTTCAAATTCTACATTTTTGCTGTGTCATGTCAGATCTGTCAGTCATAAGGAGGTCCTGTTTCATCAGGTTATATCCTCTTTTCCTTCAAGCAGGAAATGCAAATGATTGGGTTTTGGGGTTGGGTTTTTTTGAGAGGTGCCATATACCAGAAGGAACTCAGCTGCTGAAACATGAGCACACTGCTAAGAACAGTAATGTGAGTCAGGTGTGGCACAGCAATGATGTTTTCAGTCAGTTTAGTTACCTCCTGGAAAGTTCAAGAAAATTGTTTTATTGTACTATTTTTACGTCTCTCATTCACTTCACTGGCTGATCATTTCTGTCTGTATGGCCACACGTGTTGTCAAAATGTCACATG